AACAGTCCTGCACAATTCACAGCGCTTAACAGAGCACGTACCCTCCCCAGTGTCTATCACCCAGTCACCCCATCCCTCCCACCCTAGGCTATAATCTTTCAATTTGCTGCAGATGTTTCTCGTTTTATTGTATGTCTTAATTTTGTTTTGATAAATTTTTTTTACAACTCTATAGCATTTTTCATTTAAAATATCACTGCTGTTAATGACTTCAGGCGTTTATATCATGCCAAAAAATGTGTTTTTCATTCTAGAAATTAAAAAAAAAAAAACCTCACACTTGTACTTTTCACTAATTTTTTTTTAAATATTGCTGTCTTTGGTGCATTGGAATTTTATTTTCGTGTAAAGAGTAATCAAGGTTCCCCCCACCCCGCCAAGTTGGCAGTCACATATTTAATTAATAATACATTTTTTTATCACTCAGCAAAATAAGATTTCAAGATTTATCATATTCTACATCTTGAAATCATGTCTATTTCTGGACTCTATTCAGCCTCATTGGTCAGATTGCTTATTGCTCCTGTAGTTCAAAATTGTTTTAATTATTCTAATGTAAAATCCAATTTAATGCATGGTAATATTAGTAGGAGGTCATAATTTAGAGAGAGGCTAAGAAAAGTTTCACTGAGAAAAGAGATATTTCCAGTCTCTATCTAAAAAGCTCCCCCAAACTCGGGGGAGTCCTCATTGATATTGTCTCCCTAGAGCCTTCTAGTTGATTGGAATACATGGAGAAAGCCTAAAACTTCCTAAGAATAACATGCTTTACATCATAGAAACCTGAGCTCACCTGCTAAACTTGCTACTTATTAATTCTTTGCCCTTAAATTAATCCCTCTGAATATCTGTCTCCTCATCTGTAAACTAGCAGTAGTAATACTTAGGTTACAAAGTTGTTTACAGATAAAAGATAATTTGCATAACACAATTAGCACAACCCCTGGACTTTGGAAGGCACTCTATAAACTGTAGCTGATAGTTATCAATGCTGTCTCACAGCCACCTAGTCTTACCCTCTTAGGCAAAAACAGATGAAGGCCTTCCATAATTTCAGGCCTCCAGAAAGTCCCCAAATCAAACTTGTAGTTTTCACTCATAGCCCAGAAGTATGACTATATCTGCTAAAAGGCTTTCATCTACTCGGTTTGGGACCCAATCAGGAATGTTCACCTGGAATTAGCAAGGATAGTGTGGGGAACAGGCAGGTGGATCTGCATATTGATGCCATTTTAGAAACTGTTGTCACCAATAATTTTGTTTAATTGGATATTTTTACTCTTAAGGGTAAAATTATTGAAGTCATGTTTCTTCTTTGGGAGTCCCAGGGAAATAGTTCTAATACTGGTGTCAGGAAAAATGTTTCATAACCATCCTAGACATTTTCCACAATATATATGGCATACATAATGGCCATATTTTCCAACAAAAGATTATTTATTTTGAAAAAAAATCAGGGAAATGAAAAATGTGGGTTTGTGATATACCCTAGAAATTCTAGAAGTGTACACATAAATACACATAATGGAAGATAAGAATTGACCCTCAGAATTCAATCATACAAGCATTATTGACACATACTCCCATTCCAGGCCTCTGCTGGGTAATACGGGGCATACAAATGAAGAAGTCCCTTTCCTTTCTTAATGATGTTAATAGTCTCGAAGAGAAGAACATAACCATGTTATGTAACAAGTATTCTGTCTTGGAGTCTGACAGTCTACATTCTAATTCTGCCCCACCCAAATCTTAATATCTCTAAGTCTTTTTTAAATTGTGATAGGAATAGCTATCTCAGTAGGATTGGTGAGAGGTGGATAGAATTGGATCATGCATGTAAAATCCCTGACACAGGGCGCCTGGGTAGCTGAGTAGGTTAAGCGTCTGTCTTTGCCTCAGGTCATGATCTCAGGGTCCTGGGATCAAGTCCCACATCAGGCTCCCTGCTCAGAGGGGAGCCTGCTTTTCCTTCTCCCTCTGCCATCCCCATATACTCTCTGGCTCTCTCCATCTCTGTCAAATAAATAAAATCTTTAAAAAATAAAATAAATCCCTGGCACAAATAATGATAGCTATTATAAAGAAAGCAAAAAGTACTTCAATTTTATTTAAAACATTTATGAACTGGCTATACTGACCTTTCCTCATACTATATTGTATAATATCTCACATAAATATTTTATGTAAATCTATATAAAAATGTTAATAATGATTAATATTTAATGAGTGCTTACTATATGCCAGCACCTTCCAGCAATTGTTCCTAACTGTTCTCTATATATTAATATAAAAGTTCTATTATTACACTCATCTTGCAGATGAGGAAACAGAAATCTAGACAAGTTATATAATTTGCCTACAATTATAGAAACATGCTTATAAATTGATGAAGTCGTCAATTAGATTCAGCCAACCTACCCAGAGTCTGCACTTTGAACATGATGCTTTCCAGTCACCACTGGGATAGCATATAGGCAAAGTTGAGAACATAAAGGAATTTGGTTTTGATAAGAGATTGCTGAATGGTTGCTGACTCACACATGTAAACTGGATTTAGAGTAAACATACTTCCTATGAAAGGAACATCAGTATCAGAATCTGATAGTCCTATCTGCCACCATCATCTACATAGTGGAGATACCAACACGCATCTTGGGAGGTTCTCAGGAGGAGCAAATGAGAAAAATATGTGAAGACACCCAGCTGTGGGTTGTCCACAGTCATATGATTTTGAGGGAGTGCAATGGGAATGAAAGCCTGGGTGTCCTGCCCACTCATCCATGCCCTTTTCCTCATTCTAAGTATAAGCTCTCTTACCAAATAAATTTGAGTATTGAAGGACTGGATTTTGTTCAAGGGAACCATTATTTGAGGAGGGCAGACCCACAAAAACTGTTGGATCCCTTTCTCTGCCCTATAAATCACCAAGTCATGAAGGCTCAATTTCAACAAAATTATAAATTGCCTGTCATCTAGCCTCCCCACTTTGGCCTACGATTATGGAGAATGAGCCAATCACATGGTTCTATAATGGTCTTCTTTTTTTCCCTTCCCACATAATAATATGTTTTGGTGAATCAGCCCTTCAAGGCAACAAACACATTGGGTAAACAGAATTCATCTTTAGCATTATGTACAAGAGCAGAGGATTGGGGTGCAGGAGACCAAGGCTTTCAATTCCATACCAGCAGTCAACATCGTATGACCTTGTATGTACTAATTTCCGTCTTTCAGTCTCTCTGTAAAAATGAAGAGTTTCATCTCGCAGCTGTGATCTATGCCTATGCTTGCTTCTGTAGCTTAGTAATTATTCCGTCTCAGATATTCTACGGAACCCATTTATCATATATATGTGGCAGAGCTCAGGGGGTCTTAAATTCATCCTAGAAGGAAGAGGCATGCTTAAATGGGAGACCTGAGACTTCTTTACACAATAAAAATCACCACTGCCAAGCTCTCTCTCTCTCTCTCTCTGACTCAGTTTAGGGAGTTTTAAATTACTGGGCTGGAACCGGAAAACCAGGCTCTTCGTGTCCTAATTATCTGTTCCCTTTGAAGTCCCACTGGTACCAATTTGATAGAAATAGAAACTGTGGATCAAAGCTCTAGTGACTATTGTTCTTATGAGCAGGACGTGAACCCATTTCTAAAGAAACAGACCCACGCTTTCCTACCCAAGTATCTTCTACAGTACAAAGTTTTCAAGCAAAAGATGTCGATTGCAATTTTTATTGTAATCACACTTTTGTTTGTGGGGGTTTCTGATGCTAACATTTATTGGACATCTGAAAAAGCAGAGGAGCGTGAGGAAGGCAAAATTGAGATCATACTGACAAGGCATTCTGTGGCATGTTTTTATCACTTAAAAATACATTCTAGTATATGTAGATATTCCCTCTCCAGGATATAGACCTTAACACCTGCCTCCTATCTTGAGAATGGGCTAGATTTAATTCACTTCAGAAAAGAATAGGGAAAGGAAAAAATGAGTAACTTTATAGTAGAAATACCTGGCAAACACTGTACCAACCAACTGATGAAGATTAATGTCACTAGTGATGTCTGTGGCTATCATGTAACTTCTGAGGGGATGTGGTGAAATTTATGTCTGTGATTTCCCTCCATTCTCAAAACACATAAACCCAGTCTAAACATGCAAAAACATCAGATAATGTTGGTTTCTCAGCCTTGACAAATCTACCTTGATAATATAAGGGGCCATGGAGGGAATTGGCTGAAGTGTGTATGGGCATTCTCTGTACTTTCCTTGCAAATTTTCTACATGTTTAAAATTATTCTGCATCAAAAAGTTATTTTAGAAGAACATATTATAAACACTTAAGCATTTTTCTATCTTCTGATTGTTAATAGAGTATTCCAGAGCACTCATTAAATGGGATCATGCCTAATACAGAGCTTGGCATATAGTAAGTGCTCATTAAAAGATAGATTTGTTATATGTGGAATATAAGAAACAGCACAGAGGATCAAAGGGGAACAGAGGGAAAACTGAATGGGAAGTGATAGGGAGGGAGACAAACCATGAGCGACATTTAACTATAGGAAACAAACTGAGGGGATGGGGTAACTGCATTAAGGAGGGCATGTGATGTGATGAGCACTGGGTGTTATACACAACTGATGAATTATTGAACACTACATCTGAAACTAAGGATGTACTATATGTTGGCTAATTGAATTTAAATCATAAAAAAATTTGTTTTTATTGCTGTTATAATTTTGATCACTATTCCACTCTGATTACTGAAAACTTCCCTATCAGGTGTCTTTATACATGCTATTTCTTCCTTGTTTTTATTTTCTTTATGCACTGAGATTGTGTGGCCTGGCTTTGGAATTTGCTGTACGGTTTGAAGGTGGGGTTGTGTAACCAACTGAGAAGAGCCAGATTATTATTGTTGCTCTGTTTCAGTGTCATCCCAGTGGCTGTTTGATAGACCTCTGCCTCCAGATGGGTGTTATCATGTTTCTGAAGCAAATATGGAACAACTTCATGGAACTGGGATACCCGTGAGCACTTTATTTTTAAACTTGCCTTATGTATAGTTACAAAAAGAAAGATAGAGGTAGTGGGAATAGTTCTTAAGAATTGGGGCCTATTAGACAGACAGGAGTGGGTTCTGTTCCTGCTCTGCTGCTCACTAACTGTGACCGTATGTGTGTTAGTTAACCTTTCTCAGCCTCAGTCTTCACATCTCTAAGAGGGGATCAATGGCTATATGTACCTCGAGAAAACACTTGTGAGGATTAAAGGAAATAGTGGATGTCAAGCACCCAGTACTCTGTTCAACACATTAAGATGCTTGTTGCTATTCTTAAAGCACTATTTTCAGTACAGGTTCTTGAGGATAAGAATAACTTTCTGGGTTCTTCCAGCCACCAAAAGACCAAGGTTGTCATTGTTTAACAAAGGCAGTCTCCATTTACGCTCCCCCTCTTGAAAAAGAATAAAACAAAGATAAAATTCTGGATAAGGAGGTCTTGTATTCTTTATTACATGAAAAAAATGTCATTAGAACAGGATTGGTTTCACATAAAATAGCATTCTGTTTTGTCCCTTTAGATGGGGTTTAAAGATCTGTGGAATGCTGACGTGAAGGGTGTTGAATGCCTACTTCTACATCTAATAACATAGATTACTCTTCCAAATACACTGAAATATGGTTTATGAAAAACAATGTGTGATGGAAGCTTTGGGGCCTAACCAAGGTTAAAAGCATGACTATTTTGAGGAATTTCTTGACTCTAGAAGAAGAACTAGTTAATTGATGATATAAATAGTTTAGGCTTAGTCATCTGATTATGCCGTGATTCTTTCTCCTTGTTGGCGGACAAATGGTGTCAGGATGTTCCAGAGCAGAGACCTTAGGGCTGGAGAAGTGATATCCATCCTGAAATCTGCCATAAACTATTGTGTTAAGTTACAGGCAGTCTTAGAGCATAGACTATGAAATAACTGAGACCTGGTTCATATTCCTTCTCTGCCCCTTGCTTAAGATGCTTATAATTTACTTCACCTATCTGTGAGATTATTTTTTTATTTATAAAATAAGGGAGGAGATTACAAGAGATGTGCAGTGGTCTTTAAACCTCATCAATAAATGACAGAACCTTTTTGTGAAGAGATTTTTATACAGATCCTCAATATTCAAAACAGAAAAAAAATAAATCTCTAGTAAATGAAGAGGGCATAGGGATGAAGGGTTGGGGAGCCCAGTCCATTGTTTGTATCCCTTCCTATCCCTGGACCATCTGTTTGAGACACAGAGCTTGGGAACATCATTTGAAAGTAGCTGAGGAGATTAGGTAGCAAGTGCCTGCCACAGGATCTGACGTGCTGTGAATGAGATAGCTTCATAAGCACCAACAAGATGGTATCGTCGTCATTATACTATTAAGAATGATTCTTATTGTAGTCATTGTCTGTGTGCTTCTATACATAGCATACCTTCGGATAGCACATTTTCACCATGACCTTGCCTAAGTGGTCAGCCTGAATTATGTATATCAAATCCCAAATGTACCATGGTAAGGGACATGCTGTTGGTGTTTTTCCGAATCCAGCAGGAGTGGACCAGTCACTAAAGCAATAATTCTGAAACTTGTATAACTCAGTTCTCTTTCTTAAAGTAAAATCTTAAGCAGACTGAAGTAATAAAATTAAACCAAGCAGGTCTGCCTCAATCTCAACACCCAGCCCCTTTTGCATCTTTATGAGATCCCAGAGGCAACCTCCATGGGACATACACTGAAGAACTACCTACCTGACGTTTTGGTCTGTGGTTGTTCTTCCAACACCCACTGAGTTCCAGGTCCATGAATAATTAATATTGAGAGTTGGGATACACTGTGGGATTCACTTCATTCTAGAGGTAATGTTCATCTAAATCTTGAAATAATTAACTGCCCAGAAGTCCCCACTATGGGATATTTCTGAGTCACATAATTTCAAGACTGCCCCTAAGCTAGGGAAATAGTGTTGTTAATTCCTTTCCAAGTCTTTTAAATGGACTCAGGCACAGATCCATTGCCATAAATTATTGTTCACTATAGTAGCAGAATGTAATTGTTAATACTCAAACCCTTCATGTTCATAAACTCACAGAGGTAAATAGACTTATTAAAAGTAACACAGCCAGTGCATTGTAGGGTGGGGACTAGAACCTCTATCTCTTGAAACCTTATCTAGGGCTCAGTTATTTGGTATGGAACATGATTTTACTCATGTTCAGAGAGCACAACCCAGAAGATTTTGGGTTATGAGCAATTAAGGGCTCAGATCCAATCACAACAGGCAACATAGAGGTTTAAGTATGTAGAGAGGTTGAGGGAGTAGAGGGAAGGAATCATACAAATGGGTGTTTGTCTAATAAGAATCAGGAAGCACCTAAGTGTGGCGGTGGGGATTAATTCCCAGATACATATATAGATGTGTACATGGTCTAGGAAGGCTGAGGCCTATTCCCACTTCCTAAACTTGGAAGTTGAGACCATGCAAATATCTCCAATTCCCAGAAATGCTCAGTGTACTCCCAGGGTAGTGGTATTTCTCTTTCCTTAATGCCCTATAAATTGTTCACCATATGCTTATAAGAGCTCAAAAGCCCGTTGTCTGCTCTGTGATGTAGGTTGATCCAGAACTGGTGGTCACGACATAAAATCAAGCGGGGAATACAAGATGCGTCCATACCTCAGTGGGAAAATGATTGGAACCTGCAGCCCATGAATATTCACGGACTGATGGATGAATATTTAGAAATGGGTAAGGAGAGAAACTTCTACACAGCTGTTTGGACTTCTTGATATATTTTTTTTTTCTTTACACAGGCCTTAGTTCAAGACAGAAAACCATCTCTCTCTTTTCCAACCCCAAACATTCTAAAATACCTCTGTATCTTTATCTTAACATAACTAGAGAAGATATTAAAACAATGTCCTTGGAAGGCTCACAAATTCTGTCCTTTGTCAGCCATAACATTTGACCAAAATGAAGGGTTTTCTCATAGCAGAACACCTAATTTTAGTGCAGATATTTTAAAGGAACAAAATAAATCAGAACCCATTCCTATATCAAAAATATACCATCCTGCCCAAATAAAGCAATGATTATTTCTTGCAAAAAAACCTTTGCACAGACCTGGCGTGAGTTTAGCTTCTTTGAGAAGCCCACTTATTTATATTAAGAAAAGGAGGATTCTCACTCCAACTGTTAAAATCTTTGTGTGTTGTCTTCACATTTGCTTTTTCTCTGGCCTTTAGTCTTCTCATCTATAAAAAGAAAGGACAAGATTAGGTGTCTTGGGTCCCTCAGAGCTCAGCATTTTTCTTCAAGGCCTCCTCTTTGACTTCTTTTCTCTTCACTCTTCCTTCATGCGGCATGGTATAGTGATGGAAAGCACAGAGACTTTCAGTCCATTGAGATCAGAGAGTTTCAATGCAGGTTTTAACATTTTTTTGCTATCCACCCTTTAGCAAGCTTACTTAACACATATGAACTATAGTTACCTCAACAGCAAAATATGATGAGCATATTTACCTTGTAAGGGATATTGAAAGGATTAAAGGCGATTTATGTGAAGCACCTCATAAGGCCCAAAGAAAGCACTCAAGAAACGATATTGTTTATATTACTAATTTTGCAACGCTCTCCCTTTACAGTTTTGCAGTTTGGTTTTACCACCATCTTTGTGGCAGCTTTTCCTCTGGCCCCTCTTTTGGCTTTGTTGAACAATATCATTGAGATCAGGCTGGATGCATACAAATTTGTCACCCAGTGGCGGAGGCCTCTGCCTGCTCGAGCAACTGACATAGGTAAGATTCAGGAACTAAATGGGTTTTGCATTGCTGAGGCCAAGAAGAGCCTTGATCTTAGCGCCACGTGGGTTTCTATCGTTGGGGCTTCCTTCCAACTATAACAAAACTGAGCAGTTTTGATTAACAAAATCATGAAATGAACACTAACCTAGTTGAGAGTATGTTTATCCTAAACAGGCTATGTCATGACCTTGTTTATCACTAAAAATGATCTCGTATACATTTTTCCATGTTAATAAGTATAGTTCTGCCTCATTCTTTATAGTTACTGCACAAATTTCTGTGGCATGTTATATGACATTTCTAAAAAATCATTCCCTTAACTAGAGATGCTTAGATTGCTTCAGTTTTTTCTATTACAAACAACACCTAGGTGAACATACATCTTCATACATACTTTGATTATTTCCTCAAGATAAACTCTTAGAGTGGAACTCCTTTGTCAAAGAGCATGTACATTTAATTTTTTTTTTTACATTTAAAATTCTGATAATTTCTCATTATGTTCTCCAGAAATATTGTGCCAATTTATACTCCTAAAAGTATAATAAGGGTTCTTTTGTTTTTTTAATTGTTGTTCTGTCCTCAAAAATCTGAGGAGGGAAAAAATGATATCTTATGTTTCCTTGCATTTTTATAATTATGAGATTAAATATATTTGTATTTCTTCTTTACTAACTTTATGACCTTAGGCTATTATATCTGATTTGGTAATCTTTATCTGTATGTTCAAGATATTAATCCTTGATATATATGTTGCAAGCATTTTCAAATGCTGGTTTTTAATCTTTTACTCCATCATGAATAAGCTTTTAAAATGTTTATATAATCACATTGATATATCTCTCTTATAGTTGTTTTTGTTTATGGCATTCTTAGAAAGATCCTTTAGAACTCTCGATTTTTTTACCATGTTTTAGTAGTTTTATATTTTAGATATATGTGTGTTATTTGGTTATCTGTTGACATTTTATGATTTTATTTAAATTGTTGATCTAACTGGAATTTGTTATTAATAAAGGGATTGAAATTGAGATCCAGCTTGTTTTTTTTTCTAAAAGGTAGCCAATTTTCCCAAAACCATTTATTAAATTTTCCATCTTTCTTAACTTGTTTGAATTATCTCTATTATATGAAATTCTATATAAACTTAGGTATATTTCCAGAATCTCCATTCATCTGACTACTTATTTTTGGCATACTGTTTTAATAAACTAGCCCTAACTATGTCTTTTTTATTTTTATTTTTTTCATTACCACTCAATAAAATGAAATATTATAAAGATTTTGAAAAACAAAGAAAGAGGTTGGAAGGGAGAAAGTTGCCATGCTATCCAATCAGCTTTAGCACTTTTGAGTATTTCTTTCCAGGACTTTTCTTTTTTTTATATCAGTGTATTTAAAGCTAAGTTTAATCCTATTTGAAACATCAGTTTTGACTGCAACCAATAGTATGTGGATACTGTATACAATTTCAAAAGCTTTTTTGTACATCTGTATACCAGATTGGAAAAGTCAACTAGTGATTTCCAGGTCTTGACACCAAACTTTTACATTTTTATATTTTTACTTTAAAAAGGTACTTGAAACAATTCCTGATGATATTTTAATTTTCAAATCTCTCTAGATGGGGTCTACTGTGGAAAAGTATTCAGTAGATGTCCGATCTATAGTGAGATATTGTACTAAGAAAGTAAATAATGGACAGAGCTGTAGCCCCAACAGAAGTAAAATATTCTTTCCAAAGAAGAGTCATGAGAGGGTTTTAATTTTTTTTGCATTTCATTCCCTATCTCTACTCTTTCTCCTACTAGGAATCTGGTATGGCATTCTTGAAGGAATCGGTATACTGGCTGTGATCACCAATGCATTTGTAATTGCTATTACATCTGATTACATCCCACGTTTTGTCTATGAATACAAATACGGCCCCTGTGCAAGTCGTTTTGAATATGGTGAAAAGTAAGGTTGAAATTCATACATTTTTCTGATATGTTTTATGTTTGTGATTGAAATGGGAACTCATTGCAAAGTTCTGTTCTGTGACCATTAAGGGCAGTGTTTTTGATCATTGTACTTACAATGTGCTTATTGGAGGAAATCAAGCAGGATAAAAAGGGCGACAGTGCTTTTTACGCAAATAATTTTAGAGTCTATGTTTTTACTTGTAAATGCATCACTGGTATCCAAATGTTAAAAACATTATAATGTATTTAGAAGTCAAATTCAGAACTGGAAGAGATGTTAGAAATCATCCAATGCAATCTTCTGACTATATAGTTGGGAAAACTGAGGCCCACTTGCTTCAGGGAATAAAGCTAGTTTGCAGGGACATACAGAATATGAAGGAAATGTCAGCTATGATGAGAGAGTCTTTCTTTCTTTCTTTCTTTCTTTCTTTCTTTCTTTCTTTCTTTCTTCCTTCCTTCCTTCCTTCCTTCCTTCCTTCCTTCCTTCCTTCCCTCCCTCCCTCCCTCCCTCCCTCCCTCCCTCCCTTCCTTCCAAGATTTTATTTTATTTATCAGGGAGAGCACAAGTCAGGAGGCAGAGGGAGAAGCAGACTCCCGGCAGAGCAGGAGCCCAATGCAGGACTCGATCCCAGGACCCTGGGATCATGACCTGAGCCCAAGGCAGATACTTAACCAACTGAGCCACCCAGGTGCCCCTTTTTTCAAAAGGAATTTATAACTAGGGATTTTAAGGTACAGAGAATGCTGCCCTGAATCTTTGTCTTTGTTGTTGTTGTTGTTAAAATTTGAGTCCACACTTTAGAACAGCATTTCTCAACCTCTGTGCTATGGACATTTTAGACCAACTAATTCTATTCTGGGGAAAAGATGGGGACTATTCTATGCATTGTAGGATATTCAGCAGCATCCTTGGCCTCTACCCAGTAGATACAAATAGCAACCTCCCTATTGCCACGTTGTGACAATCTAAAATTGTCTTCAGACATTGCAAAATGTCACCTTGGGGACAAAGTCACCCAGTTTACAAGCATTCTTTTAGGGGAAATGGGTTTTTCACATCTTTCCCTCTTGAAAGCAAGTATTAAGAAAGAATGCAAGAGCACTGGACTTGGGGAACAGAAATTGGAGTTGCAGCTGGAGATGAGCCGCCGTGTAGAAGTAGTGATGGGAGAAGCCACTTCCCCTCCTGCCTCAGGAGCAGCTTTGGGCATGCATCTTATTTAGAGGCAGGGCATGTGCCCCAAGAGCCTGAGCTGTGGCTTAAAATGAAATCAACCCTTAGCTCTACTGACGAACTGATGTTTTTCTCAGAACATTGAAATGCCTTTCTGAACATAAATATCTCAGTTTTTCAAAGAGAAGTAATAAAGGCATAAAATATATTTTGGAGTCTTGTCAAAGGACTTTAACCTAAAATCAAACACCCTAGGTTCAAATTGTAACTCTGCCTTTTACTAAAAGGCACATCAGTCTGGATCTATAATAAAGAGACAGTGTCTAGGGATGCCTGGGTGGCTCAGTCTGTTAAGTGTCTGCCTTCGGTTCAGGTCCTGATCTCGGGGTCCTGGGATCGAGTCCCGCATCGCACTCCCTGCTCAGTGGGGAGCCTGCTTCTCCCTCTGCCTGCCACTCTCCCTGCTTGTGCTCTCTCTCTCTCTCTCGTTTTCTCTCTCTGACAAAAAAGAAAAAAAGAAAAAAGAAACAGTATCTAAAGTAACATTTTATAAACTATAAAAGACTATGTAAATAAATCGGTTTTAGTATTAATAGTGAAAAGCCAAGAAAAGTCCCTTTTTTAAAATCCAAAATAGTCTAGAAGCAGATTTTAAGGGTTTATTATAAGTAAGCAGATTTGGCAGCCCTCTCCTTAGTAGCATTATTTGCTATTGTCTTTGCTGCCACCTAGTGGCAGGTGAAAATGAAATTGGTTGGTTATCTGCTCTGTTTACGTTTCAAGTCCTGCCTTTGGTGAAGATAACACCTGACGCTTTCTCCATATTCAGTGACCAGATGTAGAATAACTTCAAGAAGAGATGTGGAGGGCTTAGATGAGGTTGAAACCACACATTCCTAGGGCCATTCTGTTATTTAATTTTTTCCGGGTATCTATAGCAGCTAAACTGGAGTAGATTCATTCAGATCATAAATTTTCAGACCAAAGTAGCAAAAGGACAAAATGGCAGTGAAGAGGAAGGTATTGGCAAGAGAGCAGTTGGGATGATAAATCATGGGGTCTGAGGTGGACGAGGAAGGGCGTGCAACCAGTGTGGTCCTGTACTTTAGAATTCAGGGGTTAGAATGAGATCGATGTACATTCGAATCCAGGTTTTCAGAGCTGTTTATCCTGGGCAGTGATTCTCAACATGGGACCTGCAGGTCTCCTTCAGATTATTTTCGTAATAATACTAAGATATGATTTGCTTGTTTTGCCATATTGACATTTGTACAGATGGCACAAAAGTGATAGTGGGTAAAATGTTCCAGTGGCTTCGCATAACTGAAGGCAGTGGTACCAAAAAGTACTAGCAATGATTGTATTACTCACCATTGTAGAACTACCATTTAAAAAGTTCCAGTGAGGGGCGCCTGGGTGGCTCAGTCGTTAAGCGTCTGCCTTCGGCTCAGGTCATGATCCCGGGGTCCTGGGATCGAGCCCCGCATTGGGCTCCCTGCTCGGCGGGAAGCCTGCTTCTCCCTTACCCACTCCCTCTGCTTGTGTTCCTTCTCTCACTGTCTCTCTCTCTGTCAAATAAATAAAATCTTTAAAAAAAAAAAGTTCCAGTGATAAAATTCAGAATGCCCTTGATGAAGCAATAAAAACTATTAATTTTATCAAATCTCCACCCTTGAATAAATGTCTTTTCAATATTTTATTTGACAAAATGCAAAGTGTGATAAAGCTCTTCTGCTACATGCTAAAGTACGGTGATGGTCGTCTCAGAAAAAAACACTTGCATGACTGTTGGATTTGCAAACTACACGACATTTTTTAACATGAGATAATGATTGTCAGATAAACTATGATTATTCAGACTTGGGTATTTAGGAGGCAGTCTTCTAGAAATGGACAAAACTGGCTTGTCACTTTAGGGGAAATAATTGACAGTATTTGTTTCCATTAATAAAGTTCAAGTTTTGAAGTGAAAATCAGAATTTTGGATTATTTTATCTACCACTGAGCTTAAAAGGTTCTCAGTACTTACAGATTTTTTTCCTGATAAAAAATCAGTGGTGATATTAGCAATTATGATCTTCATAGTCTATAGTAAAAATATAACAACATTTGGAAGATCTGCATAATTCAGGAAACAAATATTTCCCAAGTGACCCATATTTAATGTCACAAAATCATGCATGGGTAAAATATGAATTCAAAGTACAAGATAGACCTGTGGATTTTAATGTAAAATCCACATAAAAAGTTTATTGATACTTTAAGACTCCACACTGCAATTAAACTTTAAGAAATGACCACAGGTAAAACTTTGGTGTAATGTCAATGAAAAATATCAATAATTACTTGAAATGCTATTAAAATATCCTTTGTTTCAAGTACTTATCTGTGTAATTATCAGATTCTCTACTTACTCTTCAACCAAAACAACATATTGCAACCAGATTTAATGCAGAAACAGATATGAGAATCTAGCTGTCTTCTATTAAGGCAGACATCAAAGGATTTGCAAACATGTAAAACAATGTCATTCTTCTCACTTCATCTTTTGGAACATACAAACTATTTTTCTTTAAAAATATGTTACTTGTAATGTGTTTGATAAGTTATTTTAAATGAATTAATAGATAAATATTTTCTAAATTTCTGTTTTAATTTCTAATGTGTTAAATACCAATACATATACCCCTCTGTAAAAAGCTCCTTGAGATTCTCAGTAATTTTTAAAAATGTAAAGGTTAGCTGAGATCAAAAATTTTGAGAATTACAGGCTTAGGAGGAAGTTATTTAGCCTCTGTAAAACTTAGTTCTTTAATCTCTATGATGGAGATGATAATATAAATGTTCTAAGGTTATGGTAAAAGTTAACTCTGACCACAATTTAATACTCACCACTAGGACAGGGATTTTAGCCTGTTTTGTTCATTGTCAAATACCAATCGTCTAGAAGTTTTCTAACGAATTATAGGTCCTCAATAAACATATATTGAACAAGTTAACGAATCACAAAGACACATGTTGATCAATTGGCTGCTTAATTACAATTAGCCAGATAGGGTGATATGCATGCATATTTATAAAACATGTATTTATAGAGTTTTAACACATGGGGAGTAATGAACACAATGCCAAGTGCATAGTAAACACTTAATAAATGTAGCCAAATGAAGGGTGGGAGAAATGGTGGACAAGATTCTGTCTCATTGAGGTAAAATTACAGATTAATGGAAGTCAGGAGATAGAATCAGAGAGCTGAGTAACTAGGAATTTATAATTAAAATGGAAGGAATAATAGCACTTACTGCATCCTGTCATGTGTAATGAAGGAATTGGACTAGAAATTTATGATGCTTTTTCTTTTCTCCCAGTTGTTTAAAGGGATATGTCAACAATAGCCTATCCTTCTTTGACCTGAGCGAGCTTGGTATGGGAAAATCTGGTTATTGCAGGTACTTACTTATAAAATATAATTATCTTTCCTTCTTGCTCTCATCTCCCATCTCCTCTCTCTACACGCTGATGAGCCCATTTCAACTGTCGTTTTGGGGTTTTGGCAAATTAAAAACATTTGGGGCCCTTGAACTTTGGTCTCTATTCCTCAAATCCTTTGTTTTGTGGATTTTAGGTACCGAGACTACAGAGGTCCCCCTTGGAGTTCCAAACCCTATGAGTTCACCTTACAATACTGGCATATCCTTGCTGCTCGACTGGCCTTCATTATCGTGTTCGAGGTTAGTAACAGGCTGATAAAATCACTATTGGTAAATGCTTTTCCGGCTGATACATTAGTTGACTCTTTGATACAGTAGGTCCTCACTGACGTCCAGAAAGGGACTTTTGCTTATCACAGTAAAAGGTTTGGATACGGTGAAACTGATACGACATACAAAAAAGCAAGAGCTGAATAATGTAAGAAGGTAGGTCAGTGGGTATTTATAACAGAAAACTAGGATAAAAGAAGCTATTAACAGTTGAACTGAAAACTTAACTTTGAGCCTCTCCGTAACCACATTGAAAGAAAGGATGGTTTTCATCATTTGATGAGAGAATCTATACTTACTTAAGGGTGGGGAAACTTATTTGCTAATCAGCTTAATTACAGTTGACCACATGTGTATTTGTGAAAGGGACAGTGCATAATTGAATAAACGATGCCTGAGAACACTTTCACAAAATGTGCATAGATTTGGATTATCAGAGTCATTAATATTAGACTATAGTCATGTGAAGAAATTTTGAAGCAGCTCAGATTTATTGGCTTCCTTAGTGTATAAGAAGCTTGATACAGTGAAGAATTTAGTGCTGGGATATATTGAGTATTCTCTAAGGTACCACCAAGTTCTGTGGAAAAACTTTGAATGCATCTGTTTTTTAGGGAGAGAAAAAAAGTAGCCATACAGAAGACTTTTGGAAAAAGTCTTTTTAAAGGCAGATATACCTCTCCACCGATCTCCAAAACATATCTCAAATTTTGTAGTGAAATGTCCTTCATCCATAAAATGAAATGCTTACCTCTAAGGTTTAATCCAGGATGAAATTCTATTACCTAATGACTCTATTTGCCTAGACAAATGTCTCCTGATGAAGTGTGACTTTTCACTTTATTACAGGTAGCGTAAGAGGTTAAGGCGTATTTCCAATCCAGTGATTCCGAAAAGTCTTTTTTTGTTGTGTTTTTAATGTATACTTTTTTCTTCTTCATCTTCTCTTGGGACTCAAGTGAACAGCCTTAGTCAAATGTCTTGATTCCCAGCAACCTGTCATTATAGATACATATGATTCCCTCTTTATCTTTTCTTCTTCATTCCTCATTACTAATTCCATTACCCACCTACTCCCAAAAGCACCCATTCTCTTTTCTTCAGAAGTCTTTCCACATGTTTATTTGAATATACATATATATATA